CATAGAGAAAGCTTATACTAGATGAAAGTATTTTTTTCAAAATAAGTTTCTGTAAGAATAATTTTCTCAGATTTCTTAGTAAACTGAGTCTTGTAATACAGGAAATACGCTCTGTAATGAATGAGAAATCTATACAGCATTTTTTGATTGCTATTATATATAGCAAGCTTATCCATCTTATATGCCTTTCCAGCATCATTAGTAGCTGTAAAGATAAACTGCGCTTATTAAGCCTGCTGAGCTAGCTAAGCTTATTAATTAGCAATAATAGCGCTTTAAGCCTGCTATTATTCGTATAGATTCTAGATATGCTGAATAAGCTAGTATACCTAATTAATCAGTTCTTCCTAAGTAGAAGCATACAAGGATAAAGAGATTCCTGAAGAAGCTATCATATTCCGTATTGCTTAAGAAGTAACACTAAACCAATCTTGAACAAGAATTATCAAAATATAATGAGCATTGCAGCAATCCGAAGATTTCTAAGTATATAAAGAGATTTATACTAATAAGAGCGATATCAAAGTATTAAGTTCTTGAATACGGAACTGTATAAGTTCTAATAAGCAATGCAAGTATTTACTGCCTTTGGAGCTACTCAGTATATGAAACTGAATACTTAGATTGATAACTGAAGAGCTATATACTAAATCTATCTAATGGTAATGAACGTATCCTTATATATCCAGCTCTTCAGTTCTAACTATTCTGATTATATTTCGATTCCTCATAGTTATTTCCTAAATATATTAACTATATCCATAGTTGACATAGTTGCGCTAGTAACCCTAACCCGGGTTATGTAATCCTGATTGGTACTCGATGTTGGGTTGTGATACCTGGTCCCTTGGTTGGTGGGGCCTATCCTGTGACCTGCATGTTGGATGGGTTATAACACTGATGCTAGAGGTGCATGCGTTGCTGCATTCAGAAGCCTGAGATTCGGTGCTGGAATCAGTCAGATGCACCAGTTTCCTTGCCTTACAAATCCTCATATTAATTCATTATAGGCTTCAATGCTTGTTGTTTTCAGTATACTTGCAGCAACTACTCCTGCTAGCTCATAAGTAGTATTACCCCTGCTCTCTCTTATCTTTCACGCTGCTTATAAGCTACTATAGCTTTCTTATAAGGCGGGTTTAGCTCTGGATAATACCTGCTTCTTTGATCGGGAGCTGACTGACGAGAACTTGCAGAATGTTCTTCAGCTAGTGCACTCTGTAAGCGCTACTTCTACGCTGATAATCAGCGCATCTCCTACTCCTATTATAAGCAGAGAGTTAATATTGCTGCTTCAGCGCAGTATCAGCGCTCTGAAGATGCTAGCTAAAGCAGCTCGCAAGCCTTCTAAAGCAGCTTCCGAAGAGAAAGAATAACCTCTTTAAAAACCCTGAATAGATAAGCGCACTTTTATAGCATGAGAAATAACTAGCACTGATTGCTATAACGCAGAGGCATTGCTAACTCCCTGAATAGATAAGCTATATAAGAGTTTTTAGTTTTTCAATCAAAAACTAAGCAGCTTCTATACTATATTATTACTACTTTAATTATATCTTATATTCTTTAATCAATAATTCATTATTAATAAATGCTTATAGTTCCTATAAATTCTTATTACTACTATATCCCTTCCAATGTATAAGGAATTAGCAGTTTCTAGATAGCTCTTGATATGCTAGAATAGCCTCTACCTTCCAATGCGCTTCTTTCTCGAGATTGATATTAGAATGCATCTTGAGCTCTTCTCTATCTCGTTTATTAAAGTTCTTCAGAGCTACAATTGGAAAAACATTGTAAACCTTGTATTTCGCTAGCAATTCAAGCTTATATACTAGTTTATGCACTCCTACAATCTCCAGTATTCGAAAAAAGCTAAGATATTTATTTGCTAGTTTATTATTAATGCTTTTTTAATATAAATATCTAACTGAAATAAGAATGAGATTGCTAAAAGAGAATCTTTTATTAGTATAGCATTTGTTATATTACTTAGTATATACTTGTTTTGCATGATTGAAGCTTTCCTAAGCTTTCTTATAAGCTTTAGCGAGATCTTCAAGCTGCTCTGAGATCTTGGGAATGTAGCTTGAGCACTGCATATTAATATCTGTTGGTTTTGTTAGTTAGAATCCATAGAGCAATATAGCAGATAATAATCCTGTTCCGCTATAGTCTGCGCTATTATACGCTGCTTATATAAGGGATAAGTGCTATATTCAATCTGCTTGAGAAAAGCTATAATAAGTATGAAGATATTATTCGAAGTTCTAATTCTGCTGCTTAGTCTATTCATCTGTTTAGAAGTGAAATGCAGTACTCAGATGCTGCTTGATTCCTAGATGAAAGCAGAAATTAGTTTAGAAGTAGCTTGTAAAGAAGCTTCCTCTATCTGATATAATACTCTTAGAAATGCTGTAAAACTGATATATATACTATAGTATAATATCTGCTAAGCTGCTGCTTATAAGCTGTATTATTATTGGAATATATAGAGCATACTTTAAGTATTTATTAATAATTATTAGAATAGCATTATAAGCTTTATTATAGAAACTGATGAATTCAAGCAAACTGATAATAAAGTTTATTAATATCTTAGCTTATAAGCGAGTTGCTAGTAGTAAGAGATTAAGCAAGCTATATAAGCATTATTTCCTTGTTTTTATTTGCTAGTATACTGTATGTCAGAGCTTGTATGCGCACAAAGGAAATAGGTGGCCCTTGCGACCCCTGGTGGCGGTTCAGAGCTGCTGCGAGGGCTTTGCTCCGAAGCAGCGCTCTCGTACGATGCTGCGTGGCTATCAGGCTATTATCATCCCATCTAGTCCAGGCTAATTGTGTATATAAGGGAAAGAGGAACAACAGGTTCAGCAGCGAAAAAGAAGAGGAAGGAAATAGATTCAGTAGTTCCTTTGAATGGAAGCGTTAATAGAGCAGCTTGGAAGTAGCTTATACTTCTTCACCTTACTTGTATGCTCTTTTTATTCTAACAAGTCTGAACCTTCTACTCTTTCCTGGGAAGTGAGCTGTTGGGAGTGAGAATGGCTCCAGTTATACGAAGCAGCAGCGCTGCTCCAGAGCGACAATCACAATGAGCCAGCAACTCCGATCCCTTACAGATCCTAAGCTAACTTTCCTTTCAGATCCTTCCTCCAAGCTCAAATCCAGGCCTAGCTTACGAGAATCTCTCGCTTGAGATACTAACAGATATAGCTGGATTGCAATGCTAGGAATACAAGCTCGATTGTTAGTTGGAAGAAGAGGAAATACAGCAGCAGCTGAGAAGCAAGCGCACTTGCTTAATACTACTTCAGAGCAGCAATATCAGCTCAGAGCCTCAGCTAGCTAGCCTCAGCTCTCTCAGCATCCCTCCTATGCTAATCCCTTCAGAAGCACTCTCAACAGCGCCTGCATAGCTATATTGCAGCTTGCTAGCTCTTATATATAAGAGGGGATTGTATATAGAGTTGAAAACATTCCTATATGATCTGTAGTATTATTTCAATATCTGCTGCTTAATTAATGAAGCGGATAAGATGGAATATGCAGTATACTGCTTAAAAGATAATTCCAAGCGAAACTGGATCAATTATATTGCTCATTAGAAGGAGGAATAGCGTAAGCTTATCCCTATTATCTTTAGAGAACTCGAATTCTTCCTGGAGAACTAGTTAGCTAATCCTACTACCTGCACTATTACTGCTGCAGCAATACTTGCAAGTATTGTTCAAAGCAAAAGCAAATCAGTAATAAGCTTTGTATGCTGATATTAGAAAGCAGAGCTTGAGTCTTCCTATTCTGATACTAAGCAATATTGTATAACAGCTATTCTTATATACCTTAGACTAGAGATCTGTATTGCTATCAGTATGCAGATAATGCTTCTGAATAGCTGGAATGCTCTGATTAGCTTAGCATAACGTATCGAATCCGCTCAAGAAATAGTTACTAATTCTCAACCTGCTATCAAAACGCTCCTAAGCAGCAGCTCAGAAACTGCTACTTCCTTATATCATGGCTATTACAGCTGTGGCAAGCTAGGCTATATAGCAAGGAATTATATAGCTCTGCATGGTTCTCAGGCACTTCCCCTTACAAGCATTCAAGCTTCATCAATGCGCTCTTAGATAGTTAACAACAACTTTGCCTGCTATTATAACTGTTAGAAAACAAGCTATTTTGCTAATCTATGCTCAGAGCCTTGATAAAACATCTGTTATATCTGCAATAAGCTAAGCTACTATAGTTTCAGTTGCTTAGAAGTAGAATATTGGATTTACAGGAAGAAAAAGCATATAGCAAATAGCTGCAAGCAAGCTAACAAGATAGCAATAGCTATACAACAGAGCTGAGGAGATACTGAGCGAAAGCCTTGCTAGCTTACTATCTATACAAGGCTGTTGCTTGGAAACAAAAGGAAGCATATATATAGGTTGGTTGACTTGAGAGCAGAAGAAAATCTGATCAACTGCTGCTTAGCTAAAGCTCTAGCACAGAACTAACCTTTTGAAGCATGCCTCAAGCTCATCTCAATTAACTAGAGAGCTATTATTATATATAGCAGCTGCTCTATTGATATAAAGATTATAGATAGCTTAGGAATATCTAGGAAGCAGCGCTATTGCTTTGTAATAGCAGATATTAGCCAGCTTAGCCTGATTCTGGGATTCTTATAGCTTGAGATTATTAATTCGGTAATATAATGAGATATGAAGCAATAAAGATTTCTCCTTCAGTGCTTCCAGATTCAGCTCTGCACTATAGCGAAAGAGCTTGAAAGAGCAAGAGTTGCCTTTGCAGCATATTACTATCTAAGCTTATCAGATCTACCTCTCGAAGCTAAGCCAGAAGATGCAGCGCTAGAGCTGCATCTGCTCTCTAAATACTGCAATTTCGTTAATTTATGCATAGAGAAGGCATCAAAGTTGCTTGCATTCTATACTAATATCGATCATTGTATTGAGCTTGAAGAGGGAGCAAGACTGCTTTGAAAGCTCTTATACGCTCTCTCTGCAGCTGAACTAGAAATGCTTAGGAAATACTTAGAGAAGATGCTAATCAGGGAATGGATTCGATTCTTAACCAGCTCTGCTAGCATACTTATACTATTCGTGCTAAAGAAAGAAGGCAAGCTATGCCTCTGCATGAATTACAGAGCGCTGAATCAGATTATATGCAAGAACTGCATTCCGTTGCCTTTGATTGCTGAGATTCTTAATCGATTAAGCTATGCATAAATCTATACCAAGCTCGATCTTAAGAATGTATATTATTAGCTTTGAATCTATAAAGGAAATGAGTAGAAGACTGCTTTCCGTATGAAATACAGCTATTTCGAGTACTGTGTTCTGCTCTTTAGCCTTATCAACGCTTCAGCTACATTCTAAGCATATATTAACAAAGCGCTAGCGAGCTTAGTGAATATGATTTGCATTGTTTATCTGAATAATATTCTGATTTATAGTAATGATGCTAAGCAGCATATAAGCTATATTTGAGAGGTTTTGAAGCAGCTATAGCAATGGGAGCTATATTTCAATCTGAGGAAGTGCGAGTTCAATATACAACAGATGGAATTCCTGAGCTTTGTAATGTTTCCAGAAGGAATCAGTATAAATAAGGAGCATATTGCAGCTATTGCATAGTAGCTGCTTTTGTGCATTATCTGCAATATTCAGATATTTCTTAAGTTTACTGGATTCTATCATTGATTTATATGAAACTATTCCAAGATTGCTATACTATTAACTGATCTTTTGCAAGGCAGTAGTACAGGCGTGATCGCGCTCTCGAATCGCATCCGAATAGCTTTCAAGATTCTAATCATGCTCTTTATAACAGCCTTATTGCTATGCTATTACAATGCTGCATTATTAACAAGGATTGAAACGAATGCTTCTGCTTTTGCTATAGGAGCTGTGCTAGCTCAGCTATTTCAAGGCTGCTAGCATCCAATTGCCTTTCATTCAAAGAAGCTCTTTCCAACAGAAATACAGTATAGCATGGGGAATATCAAGCTATTAGCTATTGTAAATACTATATCAAATTAGCAGCATTATTTGTTATATCTGCCTGAGCTTATACTCATTCTTACAAATCATCTCAATTTGCAATACTGGAAGACTAAACAGAAGCTATCTGCCCACTAGTTGCACTAGCTGAATGATCTCAGCATATATAATCTCATCATCCAGTACTGTCCTAGCAAATCCAATCCAGCTAATAGATTATCCAGGCAGCTAGATTACTAGAGAGAAGAAAGAGCTGAGCAGGAGCTGCAAAGCTCTAGCGATTTCATTACAATAAAGAATCTAGAGAATCAGAGAGAATCTTATATTGATTGTATTCGAAGAATAAGAGTAAAGCAAGCAGCAGATCTGAATATCTCCTATTTTCAAGTATACACTCTTCGCTATTCAAGCGAGAGTGCAAAGTTTGAGCAGATAGCAGATCTGAATATCTCCTGTTTTCAAAAGTATATTCTTTGCTATTCGAGCGAGAATGCAGAATTGAAGCAGAATATCCGCTTAGCAACTAATATTGCTTGGATATCAGATTGCAAACCAACTATCCTTCTGCATCTAGCAATAGAGCGAAGTATAGCAATAGCGCTAGAGCAGCTTGCAAAGCTAATAAGAACGTATCTGCTACAATTGCAACAAGAAAATATTTTTGTTTAGATGGAAGCTTAGCGCAAGAGGCAAATATGCAGCTCTACAGCTGGTATAGAGCTATAGCAAGTTATTGAGAGCTTGCTATGCTTCAGAGAATATATATTTATGCTAAACTATTTATTAACTTGCAAGAAGCTTTTGAAAGCATATTATAATAATCCAATAGCCAGCTATCTTAGCATAGCTAAGTTTATTAAGATGATTTCTTATTACTACTATTGGAATGTATTAGCTAAGAATATAAAGAAGCATATTAATACATATGCAGTATGCTAGTGAATAAAAACAAGAAAATAACGCTTATACAGCCTGCTCAGTTCCTTACTACTAGTAACTCGCTTATAAGCTGAGATATTAATAAACTTTATTATTAGTCTGCTTGAATTCATTGATTTCTATAATAAGGCTTATAATACTATTCTAATAATCATTAATAGATATTCGAAGTATACTCTATATATTCCAATAACAATATAGCTTATAAGCAGCAGCTTAGCAAATATTATGCTATAGCATATATATCAGTTCTACAGCATTCCTGAGAGCATTATATTAGATAGAGAGAGCTTCTTTACAAGCTACTTCTGAACTAACTTCTGCTTCTACTTAGAGATCAAGCAGTGCCTAAGTACTGCATTTCATCTTCAAACAGATAAACAGATTGAGCAGCAGAACTAGAATCTCGAACAATATCTTCGCATTTATTGCAGCCTTTCTCAAGCGAATTGAGCGCAGCGCTTACTTCTTGTACAGGCAGCATATAACAGCGCAGACTATAGCGGAATAGAATTATTATCTGCTATATTGCTCTACGGATTCCAATTAACAAAACTAACAGATATTAATATGCAGTGCTTAAGCTATATCTTCAAGATCTCAGAGCAGCTCAAAGATCTTGCTAAGGCTTGTAAGGAAGCTTAGAAAAGCTTTAATCATGCAAAATAAGCATATATCAGATAGTATAATAAACGCTATACTGATAAAAGATTCTCTCTTAGCAATCTCATTCTTATCTCAGCTAAGCATTTATACTAAAAAAGCATTAATAATAAACTAGCAAACAAATACCTTAGCTCTTTTCGAGTGCTGGAGATTATAAGAGTATATGAACTAGCATACAAGCTCGAATTGCTAGCGAAATATAAGATTTATAATATCTTTTCAATTATAGCTCTAAAGAACTTCAATAAACAAGATGGAGAAGAGCTCAAGGCGCACTCTAATATTAATCTCGAGAAAGAGATGCATTAAGAGATAAAGGCTATTCTGGCATACTAAGAGCTACTTAGGAACTGCTAATTTCTTATACATTGGAAGAGATATAGCAGCGATAAGGATTTATAGGAATTATAAGCATTTATTGATAATGAATTATTGATCAAAGAATATGAAGCACAGTTGAAGCAGTAATAATGCAGTATGGAAGCTGCTCAGTCTTTGATTAGAAAACTAAAAACCCTTATATAGCTTACTCATCCAGGAAGTTAGCAATGCTTCTGCATTGTAGCAATCAGTGCTAGTTATTTCCTATGCTGTAAAAGCGTGCTTATTCATCCAGGATTTTTAAAGAGATTACTCTTTCTCTTTAGGAGCTGCCTCAGAGAGCTTGCAAGCTGCTTCAGCTAGTACCTCCAGAGCGCTAATACTGTGCTGAAGCAGTAATATCAACTTCCCGCTCAAAACGAGGGCAGGAAATGCATTGACTACCGGCGCAGAAGCAGCGCTTACAGAGCACACTAGCTGAAGAATACTTTGCAAGTTCTCATTAGTCAGCTCTCAACCAAAAATGCATGCACCATCCAGGGCTAAGCTTGCTTCGTATGGAAGCTATAGCAGCTTGTAAGCAGTGCAAAAGATAAGAGGGAGCAGGGGTAATACTACTTACGGAGTAGCAAGAATGATTATTGCTAGCACATCGAAAACAATAAGCACTAGAATCTATAATGAGTCAGCATAAGGAATAGTAGAATAGCAATGAGGGAGCTTGCTTACTCATCTGATCCTGGCACCGGATATCTGGCTCCTGGATGCAGCAGCGCATGTACTCCTGGCACCAGCTTGCTGGGGGGCGTACTGCACCCAGCTCTGCAGGAATCTTCTTTCTCTTGATAGCTTAACAATGTTAGTATAACGCTGTATATACGGTATATCTGGGTACTTACAGAGGCTGTAGGAGTAATAGGAGGAGAGACTCTCGGGAAAGGAGTTGCGAGGGATTCGGGCGGAAGCGAGAGAGAGGGCGAGGGAGAGGCTCTCTTGCGCTTCTTGCTGGCAGAGGCCTTGCAGCTACCACACCAACCGCTGCAGCGGCCACGAGAAGAAGGGGATGAGAGAGCAGCAGGAGCGCTAGAGAGCAGAGAGTGGCAGGGAGGGGGCATTGTATCAACAGCGCTGGAGGAGATATTGCTAGCCTTCGAAGCTTCAGGGGCAGTCTAACCCTCAGAAACTTCAGAGGCTAGCGCAGCCTTCCCAGATGCATTAATAGCAGTAAAAGAAGATATCTGCAATGAATCAGCTTTCATGCAATACTTCAGAGGATAGGGATATATATACCGTGCTATTGCTGCTGTTATTATTGTTATTGCTGCTGCTGCTGCTGTAATAGCTGAGAGAAGGGAAAATAGAAAGAGAGAGGGATTTAAGCGCAAGAGCGAAATAAGGAATAACAGTGCTTCACTAGCGCATGCACTCCAGGCAACCCTGTTGTCTAGCTTTAGAAGCTATTCCGAGATTGCAGTAGTATGAATGATTACGCTAAGCTGCGCAGTCTTTGTAATCATGCTGCATCTGCACTGCGCTAGCGCTGGAGCAATCTTTATAATATCATATAACTTACTAGCAAAGAGAAACTTAGCTTTTTAGAGCAAGGCATTTCAATAATAAGGATTAACTAATAAGAGAACTATTAACAAGTATAAAGAAATCTATAGATCCATGCAAGAGCAGCTCGAGCGCATAGTTCCTAGGAATAGAAACCTGGAAGAGAGAGGATTCTGTTAGAGCTTGTATGCGTACAAAGGAAATAAATAGCCCTTGCAACCCCTGGTAGCAGTCCAGAGCTGCTGCAAGAGCTTCGCTCCGAAGCAGCGCTCTCATACAATACTGCATAGCTATCAGGCTATTATTATTCTATCTAGTTCAGGCTAATTGTATACATAAGGGAAAGAGGAATAACAGGTTTAGCAGCGAAAAAGAGGAGAAGAGAGATAGGTTCAGTAGTTCCTTTGAATGGAAGCATTAACAGAGCGGCTTGGGAGCAGCTCACACCCCTTCACCTCACTTGTGTGCTCTTTTTACCCTGACACTGTATATATATTAATATGCTTCTTTATATTCTTAGCTAATACATTCTAATAATAGTAACAAGAAATCATCTTAATAGATTTAGCTATACTAAGATAGCTAGCTATTGAATTATTATAATATGCTTTCAAAAGCTTCTTACAAGTTAATAAATAGTTTAGTATAAATACATATTCTCTAAAGCATAGCAAGCTCTTAATAACTTGCTATAGCTTTATATCAGCTATAGAGCTGTATATTTGCTTCTTATACTAAGCTTTCATTTGAACAAAAACATCTTCTTATTACAATTATAGCAAATACACTCTTATTAGCTCTGCAAGCTGCTCCAACGCTATTGCTATGCTTCGCTTTATTACTAGATGCAGAAGAATAGTTAGTTTGCAATTCAATATTTAAGCAATATTAGTTGCTAAGCAGATACTCCGCTTTAATTCTATACTTTCGCTTGAATAGCAAAAAATGCATTCTCGAAAACAGGAGATATTCAGATCTGCTATCTGCTCAAACTCCGCATTCTCGCTTGAATAGCAAAGAATACATACTCGAAAACAGAAGATATTTAAGTTTGCTGCTTGCTTCACTCTTACTCTTCAAATACAATCAATATAAGATCCTCTCTGATCTCTCAGATTTTCTATTATAATGAAATTGCTAGAGCTTTGCAGCTCCTGCTTAGCTCTCTCTTTCTTCTAATAATCTAGCTGCCTGGATAATTCATTAGCTGAATTGGACTTACTAAGGCAGTATTGAATAATGAGATTATATATACTGAGATTATTTAGCTAGCATAACTAGCAAGCAGATAGCTTTTATTTAGTTTCCTAGTACTGTAAGTTGAGATAGTTTATAAGAATAAGTATAAGCTTAAGCAGATATAATAAATAATGCTGCTAGTTTGATACAGCATCTATAATAGCTAACAGCTTAATATTCCCTATACTATACTGTATTTCTATTAAAGAGAGCTTCTTTGAATGAAAGGCAATTAAATGCTAGCAGCTTTGAAATAGCTAAGCTAGTATAGCTTCTATAGCAAAAGCAGAAGCATCTATTTCAATCCTTATTAATAATATAGTATTATAATAGCATAGCAATAGAGCTATTGTAAAGAGTATAATTAGAATCTTAAAAGCTATTTAGATGCAGTTCAAGAATATAATCATACTTATACTGCTGCTTTGCAAAAGATTGATTAATAGTATAGCAATCTTGAAATAGTTCTATATAAATTAATAATAAAATCCAGTAAATCTAAGAAATATCTGAATATTGCAGATAATGCATAGAAGCAACTACTATATAATAGCTGCAATACATTCCTTATTTATACTAATTCCTTCTGAGAATATTATAAAGCTTAGGAATTTCATCTATTATATATTGAATTTATATTTTCTTAGATTAAGATATAGCTCTTATTACTATAATTATTCTAAGATCTCTTAAATATAGCTTATATACTGCTTAGCATTATTACTATAAATTAGAATATTATTCAGATAGATAATGCAGATCATATTTATTAAGCTTGCTAATGCTTTATTAATATATACTTGGAATATAGCTAAAGCGTTAATAAGGCTAAAGAGCAGAATATAGTACTCGAAATAGCTATATTTTATATGAAAAGCAATCTTTTACTTATTTTCTTTATAGATTCAAAGCTAATAATATACATTCTTAAGATTAAGCTTAGTATAGATTTGTATATAGCTTAGTTAATTAAGAATCTTAGCAATTAAAGATAATGAAATGCAGTTCTTGCATATAATTTAATTCAATACTCTATAGTTCATACAGAAATGCAGCTTGCTTTCTTTCTTTAGTACAAATAGTATAAATATGCTAGCAGAGCTAGTTAAGAATCGAATTCATTCTCTAGCTAGCATCTTCTCCAAGTATTTTCTGAGTACTTCTAGTTCAGCTGCAGAAAGAGCATACAAGAGCTTCTAGAGCAATCTTGCTCTCTCTTTAAGCTTGATACAATAATCGATATCAGTATGGGATGCAAGCAACTTTAATGCTTTCTTTATGTATAGATTAATGAAGTTGCAGTATTCAGAGAGCAGATGCAGCTCTAGTGCTGCGTTTTCTAGCTTAGTCTTAAGAAGTAGGTTTAGTAGGCTTGGATAGTAATATGCTGCAAAAGCAACTCTTGCTTTCTTAAGCTTTTTCGCTATAGTATAGAGCTGAATCTGGAAGTGCTAGAGAGGAAATCTTTATTGCTTTATATCTCATTGTATTACTGGATTAACAATCTCAAGCTATGAGAATCTCAGAATTAAGCTGAGCTAGCTAATATCTGCTACTATAAAGCAATAGTACTGCTTTCTAGATATTTCTAAGCTATTTATAACTTTCATATTAATAGAGCAGCTACTGTATATAATAATAGCTTTCTGATTAATTAAGATGAGCTTGGAATATGCTTCAAAAGATTAGTTCTATGCTAGAGCTTTAGCTAAGCAGCAGTTAATCAGATTCTCCTCTGCTTCTGAGTTAATCAATTCATATATATGCTTTCTTTTATTTCCAAGCAACAGCTTTGCATGAATAATAAGCTGGCGAAGCTTCCGCTCAGCATCTTCTCAGCTCTATTGTATAGCTATTGCTATCTTGTTAGCCTGCTTGCAGCTATTTGCTATATACTTCTTCTTTCTGCAAATCCAACATTCTGCTTCTAAGCAACTGAAACTATAGTAGCTTAGCTTATTGCAGATATAACAGATGTTTCGTTGAAGCTTTAAGCATAGATTAGCAAAATAGCTTATTTTCTAATAGTTGTAATAGCAAGCAAAGTTATTATTAACTATTTGAGAGTGCGTTAATAAAGCTTGAATGCTTGTAAGGGAAAGTATCTGAGAATTATATAAAGCTATACAATCCTTTGCTATATAGCTTGGCTTGCTACAGCTATAATAGCTATAATATGAGAAAGTAGCAGTTTCTAAGCTGCTGCTTAGAAGCATCTTAATAGCAGATTAAGAATTAGCAATTATTCCTTAAGCAGATTTAATATATTATACTAAGCTAATTAAAGCATTCCAGCTGCTTGAAAGCATTATCTGCATACTGATAGCAATACGAATTTCTAGTCTGAGATGTATAAGAATAGCTGTTATGCAGTATTGCTTAGTATTAGAATAAAGAAACTCAAGCTTCATCTCCTGATATCAGTACATAAAGCTTATTACTAATTCATTCTTGCTTTAAGCAATGCTTGCAAGCGTTGCTGCAGTAATAATAGCGCAGATAGTGAGATTAGCTAATTAGTTCTCTAGAAAGAATTCGAGTTCTTTAAAGATAATAGAAATAAGCTTATGCTATCCCTTCTTCTAGCAAGCAATATAGTTAATTCAGTTCTACTTGAGATCATCTTTTAAGCAGTATATTATATATTCTATCTTATTTGCTTCATTAATCAAGCAGCAGATATCAAAATAATATTATAGATTGTATAGAAATATTTTCAACTTCATATACAATTCTCCTTTATATATAAGAGCTAGCAAGCTGCAATATAGCTATGCAGATACTATTAAGAATGCTTCTAAAGAGATTAGCATAGAAGAGGTGCTGAGAGAGCTAAGGCTAGCTAGCCGGAGCTCTGAGCTGGTATCACTGCTCTGAAATAGTATTAAGCAAGCATGCTTGCTTCTCAGCTGCTGCTATATCTTCTCTTCTTCTAATTAATAATTGAGCTTGTATTCCTAGCATTGCAATTCAGCTATATCTGCTAGTACCTCAAGCAAGGGATTCTTGTAAGCTAGATCTGAGTTTGAGCTTGGAAGGAGGGTTTGAGAGAGAAGTTAGCTTAAGGTCTGTAAGAGATCGGAGTTGCTGGCTCGTTGTGATTATTGCTCTGGAACAGCGCTGCTGCTTTATATAACTGAAGCTATTCTCACTTCTAACAACTCACTTCCCGGAAAAGAATAGAAGATTCAGACTTGTTAGAGTAAAAAGAGCATACAAGTAAGATGAAGGGATATAAGCTGCTCTCAAGCTGCTCTATTAATGCTTTCATTCAAAGGGACTACTGAATCTATCTCTCTTCTCCTCTTTTCGCTGCTGGACCTGTTGTTCCCCTTTCCCTTATATACACAATTGGCCTGGACTAGATGGGATGATAATAGCCTGATGGCTACGCAGCATCGTACGAGAGCGCTGCTTCGGAGCGAAGCTCTCGCAGCAGCCC